TCCTGTTCTAAAAGAATACACCCAAGGATTTCGTAACAGTTTACCAGGCTTTCTGTGTTAAGTATAATAAAGCAAACATGTGCATAGAAGTCTCAGAGCTACAAATAACATATGAATTGGGATTTTATACGAAAGTTCAAACTGAAACTCTTATCAATCTACTGGTAACATATAAGAAATCTGCTCCTTACTTTATTTCTATAACTTTAGAATCCCAATTATCCAGATACCATATAGCAAAATAGTATCTGTGCTATGCCTCAAGCATAATAGGTACTTAATAAATACTTGTCTGATATACCAAAACCTTTTCCTTGATCCTATCCCATAACATAACAGTCTGACTAGCTCATGCAGCCATTTGCCAGGACTCAGGCAAAGCAAAAGCCTCAGCAACGCATTTAACACCTTGCTCACTGGTCGTCCACCCCTCAGTCTCTATTTGTGGTAAGAAGGGAAGCATAGAGACCCTAAGAAAATCAGGCCTAGGGAACTGGGAATGTTTTGGGACACAGGGAGAGCTCTTAAAAAGTTCTTGATTTTCAGGCCCAATGCTCAGTGTTGTCAGCTCTTAGGAGCAACTATGAAGCTTCCCTGAAGAACTTAGAAATAAAATTGCCCTCTTTGAACTACCTCTGAGACGAACATTTAAACGAAGTACAGTAGAAACACGCAGTCACTTTAAAGCTGACAAACAGACAATGCTTGGATGGGTATTGTCCGTGGAAGTGAAAACTCAAGCCAAGTTTCTAGTGACAGTAACAAGGCAGTCTTGAAGGAAGATACCCAGGAAACACACCCCTCTGTATTGCTTCAGGCCCTGGGGAGCCACTTTTCCTGTATCAGCCCTAATCTTATCTTACCTGATGCTCTAGGTAAAGCATTCATGTAACTCCCCAAATTCTGATTTGCCCTCATAATTAATGCTTCAGTTTCCCACATGTCTGCCTGGAGAAGGGAAGAATTTGCTGGCCACACGATGCAAGTTTTACTTTACATCTGTAAATTGGCATCCATTTTCATACACTGGTCTTATGAACTTGGTTTCTGTGAGTCTGAGTCACCCCAAGAGATGGATGTGCTCTCCATTTTCTGATGAAATCGGTTTCTGAGCCTGCAATGCTGCAAATCAAACTCTGGACTACAATACATTCTCCCAAGTAACTCAACCTCCTGAGGCCTCTTGGGAAGCAGCCAAACAACTCTCCAGACAACACCTCTCTCCATTGATGAGAGGCCAAGTGAACTATTTCCCCTCATTTAAAAATTTCTACACTTAGAATTAATATTACAGTTTTTACTTAAGAAAACCAGCTTAAATACAGTAAAAACAATTTCAAGTGAGTCTTAGATAGCTATCAGACAGTCTGCTTGAGCAACTAATAAACATGCTAGCTAAAAAAAATAAAAGGTATGAATTTTTTCGAAGAAAGAGCTTCACTTTAAACAAAATGGGGGAGGGGAGCTATTAGAGATTAAAAGAAATTTAGACACACTCACCAAATGCAATGGGCGACACCTTGTTTAGTTCCTGTTACAAACAAACTATGGTAGGCAGAATAACAGCCCCAAAAGATGTCCATGTCCTAATCCTCAGAACCTGTGAATGTTACCTTACATGGTAAAAGAGACTTTGCTGATGTGATTAAGTTAAGGACCTTGAAATGGGGAGAGTAGCCTGGCCTCTCCAGGTGGGTCCAATATAATCACATGGGTCCTTAAAAGCAGAGAACCTTTCCCAGCTGGGGGTCAGGGGGAGCTATGACTACGGTAAGCATCAGAGAGATGCAACATTCCTAGCTTTGAAGATGGAAGGGGACCACGAGTCAAGGACTGCAGCCTCTAGGAGCTGGAAAAGGCAAGTAAACAGAGTCTCTTCTAAAACATCCAGAAAGGAACGTAGCTATATTGGTACTTTGATTTTAGCCCAGTTAAGACCGTTTCAAACTTCTGACCTAAAAAGCTGGAAAGAATGAATGTGTTGTCACTATATTTGCAGTAACTTGTTACAGCAGCAATAGAAAACTAATACACAAACTCAAAGATATTTTGAGACAAATCAGGAGATTTAAACAGGCATTAGGTATTAGATAGAATATTGAGGAATTAAGGTTAATTTTTGCTAGGGTATGGTAGTAGTATTTGGGCTTTTTTATCCTTGTAGAGATACATACTGGAGTATTTATAGATGAAATAATACAGTGATATCTGGGATTTGCTTTAAAATAATACTGCCCCTCCCAGCAGGTAAGATACTAAATTAGCAAAAGGTTGGTTAACTGTTGAAGCCTGGGGCTCAAGATACTATTTTACTATTGTATATACTTGAGATTTTTCATAGTAAGTTAAAAAGAAAAAGTAAATTAATTTAGGAGAGTGCACCTGAACGCTACAGATCAGCACTATCTGAAATTTTCTATAATAATGGAAATGTATTGGTACTAGCCACAGGGTTATTGAGAACCTGAAATGTAGCTAGTGTAACTGAGGGATTTAATTTCAATTTTATTTTAATTGGCTAAATTTAAATAGCCCCACATGGCTAGTGGCTACCATATTACATAGTGCAGCTCTAGATATTAGAAAAGAGCCATGCTGCCTTACTGTTAGAATTCAGTTAATAAGTAAGCTCATGAATCGAGTCAGTGTACACCTGTTATTTCTATCCGCCCAGCTTCTCTTTCCCTTTCTTGCTAATAGTAGTACCCAGCTCCGAGCCCCACTCCAAGCCCTTCTTCACCAAAGAGGTGGGGCATGAGACCCAGGCTACAGTACAACTTCTTCCTGGCCCAAGAATAATGACCAGAGGCAGGACAACCACACTCCTTGCTTGGAATCTTCTGTATTAGGAAGTAAAGTAACTCCCTTGATCAGGAGTTGTATGGATGGAACCCTAGAACTGCTAGCCATCATGCTCCCTTGACACATGATGAGACTCCTAAGAGAGTAAAACCAAAATTAGGATAAAGATGGGCAGAGTCTTCTCTTCAAGTTCTTAGATCCAGTCAACTGTGGAGTCAACTCCTTTCTTTCCCTTCTTTCAGTTGGAGAAGCCAATAAATTCTTTCTTTTTTTTTTTTTTGCTTATGCTATTTTTGAGTTAAGTTCTAACAATTCCAACTTTAAAAAGTTTTAATACAAAGTCCCGTAAAAAACTTCTTAATGCCAGGATCATTAGCAAAATAGTAAGACTAATGGCACTGCTATAAGCTGAACTGTGTCGCCCTAACCCACATCTGACTATATTGGAGAAAGGACTTTTAAGGTGGTGATAAGGTTAAAGGAGGTCATAAGGGTGGAACCTGTATCTGACAGAACTGGTGGCCTTAGGGAGAAACAACAGAGGTCTCTCTCAGCCACGTGAGGACACAGTGAGAATGCAGCTATCTGCAATCCAGGAAGAATCCTCACCAGAACCTGACCATGTTGGCACCTGATCCCAGGCTTCCAGTCCCCAGAACTGTGAAAAAATAAATTTCCATTGTTTAAGACACCCAGTCTGACATTTTGTTATGGCAGCCCAAGCTGACTAATACAGGCACCCAGTATAACTTGCCTAGTGGCAGTTACTACCAGGTCCTTCTTCAGGGTGAAGTAGACCCTGACTAGCAAAAATAGTGATATTGGGCTTCCCTGGTGGCGCAGCGGTTGAGAGTCCACCTGCCGATGCAGGGGACACAGGTTCGTGCCCCAGTCTGGGAAGATCCCACATGCCGCAGAGCGGCTGGGCCCGTGAGCCATGGCCGCTGAGCCTGCGCGTCCGGAGCCTGTGCTCCGCAACAGGAGAGGCCACAACAGTGAGAGGCCCGCGTACCGCCAAAAAAAAAAAAAAAAAAAAAGTGATATTGATCTTTTGTTATTCCACTCTCAGTCTTGATTTCAGTTTAGACTAAAGTTGCTTTTTAACTGGTTTTTACTTTTTCAAATAAAAAGATCAGCCCAGCTATCTTGAATCTCATTACCAATTCAGAAGCATTACACGAATAATATGGAAAAAAGGTTTTTAGTGACATTAAGCAGCTAGAATTACATTGGGGAGAAAAGCTGATAAATCACATAGTCAAATTCAAGTATTAATCTTTTTAATTTTTCATAGTTTATTCCTTATATTGATAGGTTAAGAAAGTAAAATTTTCCTAAGTACTGATTCATAATGTTTATAAGCAGCACACAAAACATTCAGTTTCACAAACAGTAATATCCAATGATCCCCTTAAATGCAATTTTAAATCCTTACTTTAAGCTAAGTGCAAGAATAATACAATAAGCTAAATACACACAAAACCTGTATATGCTGAACTACAAAAGTGGTTTCCATAGCCACACGTGGTCTTAGTCAAGTACACATTTCCACAATGAACAAGTACTAACAAATATGTTAATAAAACACGACCCCTGGGCTTCCCTGGTGGCGCAGTGGTTGGGAGTCCGCCTGCCGACGCAGGGGACACGGGTTCGTGCCCCAGTCTGGGAAGATCCCACATGCCGCGGAGCGGCTGGGCCCGTGAGCCATGGCCGCTGACCCTGCGCGTCTGGATGACTGTGCTCTGCCACTGGAGAGGCCACAACAGTGAAAGGCCCGCATACCGCAAAAAAAAAAAACAAAAAAAACACGACCCCAAATGCTTATCCTACCATCAGCTTTTTCAGCAATGCCATTCCTGCTACTGAAAACACTTATATTTAGAAGCTTTAATTTGACCTGGGGAAATGAGTTCTCTTAAAACCTGACAAACAGTATAAGACCCAAAGATTTTTTTTTTGCGGTACGCGGGCCTCTCACTGCTGTGGCCTCTCCCGTGGCGGAGCACAGGCTCCGGACGGGCAGGCCCAGCGGCCACAGCTCACGGGTCCAGCTGCTCCGCGGCACGCTGGATCCTCCCGGACCGGGACACAAACCCGTGTCCTCCGCATCGGCAGGCGGACTCTCAACCACTGCGCCAGCAGGGAAGCCCAGCCCAAAAGATTTTAAATCAAATAGGTCTTCCAACACAGAAGAATTCATAGGAAACTTAGTTTCTCAAAAAATAAAAAATTAAAATCAAAAAAATCACTTGTTATCTAAAGAAAAGAGTATTAAAACAAATTATCTTAAGACAAACACTCTTAAAAAGGCTGTATTTTCTACCATTTTCTCCTTAAAAGAAACACAAACCAGTCCACTATCTTTTAATAACTTAGACTACTGTAATCTAAAAACTTTAGAAACATCAAACACATGTCTTAGCTATCAAAGGTACCATTGAGATTTCACATATTAAACAGCCACAGTACAGCCTACAATGGCACAAAATCAGAAGGAACTGAATGGTTTGCAAGGTACTTTGACTTACATGTGGTCATTAAAATCCAGTAAGTAATTCAAAGTATAGTAATATAACGGCAGGCAATTCAAGGCTCAAATATCACTCTAAAATTGAAGACATGAATAAAGACTGAAAGCGTTGTGGTTCTCTATCTTTCATTCACATGGCTAGATATCAGAACCTTACTGTGGAAAATATAGTTATTAAATATGGTTTCCCCAGAAAATAATGAAGCTTCAGAAAGTACCAAAGGTGTCAAGATCCATAGTTTGCTTCATCAAATGCTTTTCTAGCTCGTTTCAATTCTTCATTCATAGTAAGCAAGTCTTTAACCCTAGCAAACTTTCTTGGGTCCTTTCGAATCAAGAAGACGATATCTTCAACTTGTACCCGACCTTGTCTTCCAATTGACATTGCCTTGTGAGTCTATTACAAAAAAACATATTAAATTCAATTAATTTTTTAAAAATCTAACATTTTATTCTTTTAACTTGTGTCTATTTAATGCTGGTGAGTTTGAAACTTTCTCTTCTAATTATTATAGCTAGTCACTTATGAATTGTCTTTCTATTAATGTCCTTTGTCCACTTTCTACCGTTATTAGCAATGTTTCAATGCTTTATAGACATTTTAATATTAAGGACATTAAAACTATCAAATTCATTGATTTAAAAAAAATTTTTTTTTACATCTTTATTGGAGTGTAATTGCTTTACAATGTCGTGTTAGTTTCTGCTGTTTAACAAAGTGAATCAGCTATACGTATACATATACCCCCATATCCCCTCCCTCTTGTGTCTCCCTCCCACCCTCCCTATCCCACCCCTCTAGGTGGACACAAAGCACTGAGTTGATCTCCCTGTGTCATGCAGCTGCTTCCCACTAGCTATCTATTTTACATTTGGTAGTGTATATATTTCAATGCTACTCTCTCACTTCGTCCCAGCTTACCCTTCCCTGCCCCTCCCGTGTCCTCAAATCCATTCTCTATGTCTGCGTCTTTATTCCTATCCTGCCCCTAGGTTCATCAGAACCTTTTTTTTTTTAGATTCCATATATATGTGTTAGCATATGGTATTTGCTTTTCTCTTTCTAATTTACTTCACTCTGTATGACAGACTCTAGGTCAATCCACCTCACTACAAAGAACTCAATTTCATTTCTTTTTATGGCTGAGTAATATTCCATTGTATATATGTGCCACATCTTCTTTATCCATTTGCACTGATGTTTCTTTCTGTGTGTTTTGATATATATAGTTTGTCTTCATTTGCATAAAATAATTTTATTTCTTTGTAACCACCGCTTCATTTAAACTTTGTGTCCATTTCAGTAGCTAATAAATATTGGTGGGTTTCCTTAAAATCAAATCTCATCCCCTACCATTACATATTCATACTGCAAAAACAAAAATTCATCACAGCATTATTTCTAATGACTGAAAAAGGGAAATTAAATATTTAATAAATTGAACAAATTTGAGCACACCTAGTCAATTAATATTGTGAAGCCATCAAAAATATTAATTATGCGGTGACACAGGGAAAATGTTGTAGACGTACCTAAGTGAAAAAGCAGGTTCTACGACTATATATACTGTATGATTTCAGTTTTATAAAGTTTAAAAATATGTGTAAAAAGACAAAAGAATATTCACCAAAATCTCAGCATTAGTTATCTCTAGGTAGAAGGGTTACAGATTTTTATTTTTTCCCCTGCACTCTTTAATACTTTCTAAATTTAATCAATATTACTTTCATAAGCAGAAAAAGATTGTAAAAAATGGACTCTCTGACCCAGTAATTTTACTTCTATTATTCTTTATGAAGGAAATAGTCCAAAACACAGGGTAAAAATTCATAAGAACTGAACACAAACAAACTCAGTATTCCCATCCCTGCAAACATATCCAGAGAAGGGGGAAATTTCATGAATATGGTCATTCAAACTTATCTACTCAGTTAAAAATAATATGTAAATAATTTCAATAGGGAAATGGTTAAGTATATTAGAAAATAATTTGAATGAATTTTATGCAGCTACTAAAATAATTGTGATTAGAACATAGGAAATATGTATTAAAAACTTTGAGTAAAAAGAATGTTTACTATGATCAACACTATGTAAAACACTGTATATCTTTACATAAATACTGGAAGAGGGAAATTTATGTTGGATGATGGGATTATGGGTAATATTTTACATTTTATTCAAGGATCTTATAATTATGTCCTTATAAATAAAATTCAGAGGAGGGGGCAGAATATATTGTGTGTGCATGTGTGTGTGGGTGTTTGTGTATGTGTGTGTGTATACACCCACACACACTTATCTCTCTCTATCCTTAATGATAAATAGTAACTTCCACAAAACAGGCACTCAAATGGCACTCAAGCTTATTTCAAAGGATGCCATAGTTCTAGTCTTATCTAAAAGTTAGAATTTCAAATCTATTCCTTAATTAACTAAGACCAATTACAAAAAAAACTTACCATTTCAGTGATGAACTCTATGACAAGGTCTTCAAGAATATCTACTGACTCAGTATAAGGATTCTGGTCATCCCCAAACCCATACATCATACACCGTACTGTAAAAAGAACAATCATTTTTGTTTAAACAAACTTGACCAATACTTTTTCAAATTAGAACTAAGCTATAGAAGATATTGGTATGAAAGTATATTTACATTGTATTTCTTGTCTCCAAGTATGGATTTTGGTGTAAAAGGTATTAACCACTAGCACATAACCAACTGTTCTTACCTAGCCTTCCCTAGGTAGGAACTCCCCTTCCCTCCCAGCTACTGAACCTTGATATCAATATTCCTTCCCTAATCTCTATTATCTACTCACCAACAACCCCAGAATACCTTTAAGTAGGAAACTTCGTAGCAGGAACAGGATGAGTAGCAATGGTTTAGCCTTTACTGGGAGTGTTTTCAGGGGGTGAGGGGGAGGTCTTGGAAAAAAGAAGGCAAAATCCTTTCTGATACTACCATAAGGAAGAGGACATGAGAGAAAGTGCTCCAATTACCTTCTTATAGGAAGAACAGGTTAATCAAAAGGAGAAAGCAAAGGGCTTACTATACAGAATCTTGACATTTTATTCCCTGGATCAAAGCAACTGCCAGCAAAGCCCTTTTAGTCTTCATCTGAAGGAACCATAGGAAATGCAAAAGAGAAGAAAAGTCTACAGAGTAATGAAAATAACTGCTAATAGCTAAAACTTATATAGCCCTTACTACATGCCAGGCACTGTTGTAAGCGCATTTAATCCTCAGGACAATCCTCTGAAGTAGAAACTACTATTATCCCCTTTCTACATAGATGAGAAAATTGAGGCATAGAGTTTAAGTGATTTACCCAAGGTCACACAGATAGTGAGATGGAACTTGAATTTGAACCCAGATGATCTGGCTCCAGAGTCTATACTCCTACCCACAACACTATTACACTTCTTGGTAATTTAGGGCAGATGAGATCCATATGGATTCTTATGCTATAGCCTATAAACTCCCAATCAGTCCATGGACAAGTTTTGAGAAGTCCTGGAACCCTACTGAAATTACATGTAAAAATTTTATACCTTATTTGTGTGTGCATTTTTCTGGGAAGAAGAATCAACTCTTAGCAGATTCTCAAAGGGGTATAGAAATACTAAGAAACTCTGTCATATGTTAGAAATGTTTTGTATCTTGATCTGACTGGTGGTTACAAGTATATGTATATATGGAAAATTCATCAAGCTGTTCAATGAAGACTAGTGCAATTTATTGTATTTAAGTTTTACATTTAAAAAAAAGGAACGGGGCTTCCCTGGTGGCACAGTGGTTGGGAGTCCGCCTGCCGATGCAGGGGACACGGGTTCGTTCCCCGGTCCGGGAAGATCCCACATGCCGCGGAGTGGCTGGGCCTGTGAGCCATGGCCGCTGAGCCTGTGCGTCCGGAGCCTGTGCTCCACAACGGGAGAGGCCACAACAGTGAGAGGCCTGCGTACCGCAAAAAAAAAAAATTAAATAAAGAAATAAAGAAATAAATGGAACGAACTCCTAGAACACTTCTAAAAGTAGGAATGAGTACGTTAAGAATAATTTCCATTTAGGAGAAGCAAAAGCAGGCAGAACTAAGAAGACAGTAGACCAGGCCTGCGGAAGAAAAGAAACAGGTGACCTAGAAGTCAGACTAGGATAGAGAAGTGCCCCTAGGGTTTATTCTGGCAAAAGCTTTTAGGTCCAGATACAGGAGGGAGAAAACAAACACAGGAGCCAATATTTTCTCCCCTCTGTGTTTTTTGGATTCTGAAATTTTTGTTTGCTTTTTTTTTGTTTGTTTTTTTAGATAATTTCAGACTTAGAGAAGAGTTGCAAAAACAGCACAATGTTCCCGAATTCCTATATCCAGCTTCCCCTTATGTTAACATCTTACACAACCAAAGACATTTCTCAAAACTAAGAAATTAACACTGGTACAAATACGTAACTTATTCAGATTGTACCAGTTCTTCCACTAGTGTACCTTTTCTGTTTCAGGATCCCACAATATTTAGTTGTCATGCCTCCCTAGTTTCCTCTGTTCTGTGACAGTTCCTCAGACTTTCCTTGTCTTTTTTTTTTTTAATTTATATATTTATTTATTTATTTTTGGCTGCGTTGGGTTTTCGTTGCTGCGCACGGGATTTCTCTAGTTGTGGTGAGTGGGGGTCTCTGTTTGTTGTGGTGCACAGGCTTCTCACTGCAGTGGCGTCTCTTGTTGAGGAGCACGGGCTCTAGGCGTGCGGGCTTCAGTAGTTGTGGCTCGTGGGCTCTAGAGCGCAGGCTCAGTAGTTGTGGCGCACGGGCTTAGTTGCTCTGCAGCATATGGGTTCTTCCCAAACCAGGGCTCGAACCCATGTCCCCTGCATTACCAGGTGGATTCTTAACCACTGCGCCACCAGGGAAGCCCTTCCTTGTCTTTTATAACCTTGACACTTCTGAAGAATACTGGTCAGTTATCTTGTAGAATGTCCCTCAGTTTGGGTTTGTCTGATGTTTTCTCATGATTAGGTTATGGTTATGCATTACTAGAAAGGGAATCACAGTGATGATGTACCTCTTAATGCGTCATATCAGGGGTATGTAATGTCAACATATATTACTGGTGATCTTATTAACTTTGATCACTTGGCTAAAGTAATGTCTGCCAGGATTCTCCACTGTAAACTTAATATTTTTCCTTAAATATTTTGAGGGAGATACCTTGTCATTAACATTCTGATGGGGAGAATTCATCAGTAGGGAAATATACTTCACTGGAAAAGCAAAATCATATTAGACAGGAAGTATGTGAACTGCATTTGGTTAAAGGGTCTGTAAAGACATAAACAAATAAAAGTGAATGCTTTGAAATTTTGTGTTATATTAGCAAAAATTTTTTTTTAAAAAGAAGGTCTAGGAGAACAGATCTTGGTCAGTAAGTCATAGGAAGATTCAGGTAAGACAAGGAAAAGGCTGTGAAGATTCCAAATTCTTGTCATCACTCTGGGATGCTCTGGTGTAGGAATCCCCTTCTTATGCCGACTTAGGTAAAACCACGTACAAATGGAGTAAATAACATCAGAGATGGAATAAGTAGTGGTAAACTTAAGGTGAGAAATTGAGATATAGGAAGGGATTTGAATGGCAAAAAAAAAACCCCACATATTGACTCTGTAGTTTCAAGAGCATTTGGGAACTGCTTACATCGGAACTAGCATAAATAAATCAGGTGATGTGTCGCCTTCTCAGGACTGGGAGATGGAGAGCACTTTCTCACGGTGCCTTAAAGGGGCTGACCTTGAACATCAGTAGTAGCAGCAGCTCTCCTTGCTGCTGCCACAAAAGGTCTACTGAGGGAACAGACTAGACAACCAAAACCTTATAATCTCTATGCCACTGGACTGCCTCACATTGTTCATCATCTTCCTGCCTTGTCCATTGCCTTAGTCCAAAGCCCCAACTTAATTCCTACCCTCAGCACCTGTTCCAGGATCCAAAAGAACCTTTGGCTTACAGTCAAAGGAGTCCCTGCTCCTACTGCTGAAAGGTAAGGGACAGGGGAGGTAACGGAGGTATGTTCTTAGGCCCTGAACTGAAACACTGATCACATCTCTTTACTTAAAAAAAAAAAAAAAAAAAAAAGTATGGGTGTGTGTGTATGTGTGTGTGTGTATACACGCATATATATAAATACATAAACTGGGGTTAGGGTTATTACTATCTGTGATTCACAGGTTAAACAGAATTTATGCACAAGTCTGAGAATATTGTCCCTACAAGGAAACACATTCAGAACAATAAATCTACTTTGAACCGACATACCCAGAAGTTTTTATCTATAAAAAATCATTGTCAAATACTACTTACATTCTTTAGAAAAAAGTCTCTTTCTTTTACCCTGTCCACCTTCTGCACCTCCTCCAATTTCTTCACTTTCTTCCTCAAACTAGAAGTTAAAATGTATATATAGATACGTCAAGCACTGCTTTTGACTTTTTAATAATTAACATTTTTTTCCATCTTCAACACTGATGTCATGCCAGAAAGCCTAAATAAAGCAAGCAGCAAAAAACCATGAAACCTTAGCATTTTAGGGGCCTTACAACTATCCTATCCAACTTCAGACTCACACAGGAATGGCTTCTACAATGTCCACAACAACTGTACTGCCTCTCCTGGAGCAGTTCCAACGACCATACATTCTTTTTTTTAACCAACAAAGTTGGCCTATTTCTAGACAGTTTTACTATTAAAAGAGTTGATATTGAATAAAAGTAAGCAAAACTAGTATTTACTAAGCATTGCTTACACAGTGCTAAGAACTTTCCTCAAGTGAGACTTAAGCCTATTTTATGACATGAAAACCGAGGCTCAAAGTTAAATAACTTTGCTCACAGAGAACAAATACTAGCTTTGTCCTCTGATGATTCTCTAGGTGTTTCAAAGGGTGTCTGGCAAATATGGACCAAAAGCAAAGGGCAGGGGACCACCCTCCTACTCTTCCTGCCCCGCGTCCTACGACTAATCGGAAGAAAAAGCCTAGCACGGGGTGAAGTCCCCGATTCTCTCGGCTGAATTCACTAAGGAAAACAAACCCGATTCTCGGCCTCCGCTACGGTGCCCGAGGGAGTGAATAAAAAAGTGGGTTGGAACAGAGGCGGTCACTCACCGTGGGGTCTTCTTCTTCATCTGCCATCCCAGCAGCCAACCACCTCCAGGGCGCGCCCGGCTCCCATGGAGCAGGTTTTACTACTTCCGCGGCCTCACTTCCGGTGACGCGAGGAGGTGGGGCGGGGCCTAGTTGGAAACCCGCCTGCGGAAGTGGAGCGTGCGCGTCCCGCCCAGCGGTGAAACCACAGCAGTACTAAGGGAGGGAAGGGTGACGTCTTGGCAAGAAGGAATTAAAAATTAGCAACGAAAAGGAAATCACTGGCTAGGTGCCGTGTATCTCGCTGTCTCCTTGAACTTGCTTCTGCGTATCAGATCACCGCTTCCTTATTCGGGACTGCGAAGCTTTGGATCATTGAGGGGCTAGCCAGGGGTGTAAACAATTTCAACAACTTAGAGTACCACTATGATTTATTGCCAAGCTTATTCGTTATTGGGGATATTGTACTTCGCTACCAGTTCTCAAGGGAATGTTATCTCCCCTTAGACTGAGGATTTAATTTTTGTAGTTTTGTTTGTTGTTTTTTTAATCAGAACAGTGCTTGGGAAAACCAGGGACATTAGAAGGTTAAAGCTAGGGATATAAGGTGTTCTGCAATGCAAGAGATGATGTCACCAGGGAAAGATTGTTCCACAATAGACTATTTCTGAATGTCCTGCTAAACATTCCTGTGAGTGAAAAATCTGTTCATAATTAGCTGGGCCTAGAACATAACTTTGTTAACATATAAACACAAAGCATTTTCCTATGCTTTTAAGGTACATTGAATTTTCTAGGAACGCAACTGTGAGATAGTAGAAAGTGTATGTATTGGTCTCTGCTCACCCACCCCACCCCTCTTCCTGGCACAGAGCTCCTAAAACCCTTGTAATTTGCTAAGTGATAAGAACACTAGGGCATCTTTTGTTCTAATGAGGCAACTCTGGGTGGGCTCCTGGATGGCTTCTGGCTGGGTCACCAGAAAAACCAAGCCATGATTAGAAGCTTGGAATTTTCAGCCCTCTCCAGAGCGGGGAGAGAAACTAGAAATGGAGTTAGTAATTAATCATGCCTATACAAGGCATAACAATTGCCCTGTATTGCCTACTAATTCCAATAGTAGGAGGTTCAGAGAGCGTTCAGGTTGGGGGGCACATCCGCTTACCTGGAGGGTGATGCACCCCCAACTTCATGGAGGCAGAAGCTCTGTGCTCAGGATCCTCTCAGACCTTGCCCTATGTGTCTCTTCATCTGTATCCTTTACCATACCCTTTAATAAACTGGTAAACGTTTGGTCATGAGAAGTGTCATAAGTGAAGCGTTCAGTGTAAAAGTAAAGGAGAAAGATACACGGGAAGGAAAAAGCTGAGAGTTTTCCCCCCAAACAGTAACTACCCTGAAATTGGAGAGATATAGTTCTTTGTTTTATTTGCAACTTATCAAGAGCTGTGAAACATTTCAGGAAACAATGTCATGAAAGGCTGTATCAGTTGTAATAGTTTGGATAGCCAAAACTCACTGGAATCAGTCTGCATTTTAGCTCCTGCATTCACGGTGCAAGCATATACATATGCTTGCATATACATATAGGTGCAAGCATCTGAAATCATTATACCCACTAGTGTAGTCATACCTGAGCATTTACATATTGAAACACATATTATTATAATTTACTGTCTTTATTTTACTTTACATTATAGTTAGGACATTATATTTTATAGTTACATGGGTAGTTAGGTTAGTTATTATTACTTTGAAACAAATTATCTCAAAACTTAGTGGTTTAAAACAATGAACATTTATCACACAGTTTCTGTGAGGAATCTGGGCACAGTTTAGCTGGATGCCTCTGGTTCAAGGTCCCTTATGTTGCAGTCAGGGTGTTGGTTGGGCCTCAGTCTGATCTGAAGTGTTGATGGGGAAGGATCTGCTTCCAAAATCACTCATGTTGTTGTCAGCAGGATTCAGCTACTTCAGGTTACATTAAGGGCCTCAGTTCTTCACTGGCTATTGTCAGAGACCTCCCTCCATTCCTTGCCATGTCAACTTCCTAGGGCAGCTGGCTTCTCTCAGAGCAGGTGAGGGAGAGAACCAGGAAGAACACCCAAGAACACATTTTTTTTGGTAACCTAACCTTGGAAGTGACATCCCATCATTTTTGCCCTATGCTATTCACCAGAAATCAATAAATGCAGCCCACCCTCAAGAGGAGGGGATTACACAAGGATGAGAATACCAGGAGGCAGACATCACTGGGGGCTATCTGAGAGGCTGCCTACCATAGTAGGTTATATTATTTGTGAATTTCATTTCAGAATAATAAAGGAGACATATTTGTTATTTAAGGAAGTTTGTTGGGTCTGAAAGGGTTGAGAACTGCTATGTTAGGTAGTAATGAAACACTGGCCTTGTCCAGGGAATCAGGTATAAAATATTCACAGTGTCCATTATCAGGGGAATGGATAGGTAAAATGTGCTGGATGTACACCAAGGTGTACTATACAACAATCAGAAGCAATAGACTAGCAACATGGATAGAGCTTAGAAACAGAGGGCTAAATTTAAAAAGTAAGAAATATGAGATCTATAACAAAAGACCGTTTATGTATATTAAACACATATACACACAAAAAATACATATTTTACAGGAACGTATAAAAAAAGCATAGACATCAAATACATTAGGAAGGTTACAGGGTAGGAGACGTAAGAATAGGGATAAAGAGAATGCATAAGATACATAACAAGTGAAGGACTTGGGAAGGGTCAATTACAATAGTATGGCATGAACTGTGGAGTGTGAATAATTCAACATTCTGAGCCTGAGATCCAAAACGTAAAGGAAAAAAAAATCAGTGTTGTGAGCAGAGCAGAAATAAAGCCCAGAGAGTGAAAAGTCATGGTGTGCTTCTAGAAGATGTTTCAGTTGGGTTGCCAGAGTCAAGTTTGTTGGGTGGAGATGCAGAAAATGAGGCTGGAATGAAACTGGAGTTTGAGTTTGTGAAAGGCCTTGAATATTCTCTTCAGAGACTGAACTTCATTCAAAGTGCAGAGTGCCTGGGAGGGCTTTAAGCAGAAGAGTCACATGACCCATCTTTAAAATAAAAAATCACTTCAGCAGGGAGACCACCTAGGATGAGAGCTGATTAGAACATGAATTAAGACAAAGGCATTTTAGGACCAGAAATCACAGGACTTTGTGTCTGAATGAATCTGAGAGCTATGGAGAGAGAGGTTTATATCCAGATGGAATGCTATTAATATGAATTGGAAAGTAAAATGGAAAAGCAACTGGGGAGGGAAGGAAATGAGTTCAGTCTGAGTGTGAGAGTCTAGAGGTGTCCCGTAGACAGATGGAGGTGCAGGTCTGGAAATCCAGAGAAATCAGGACTAGAGAAAATGGCATGGGAGACATCAATGCGGGGGCAATAGTTTAAACACTGCACAGAAACAAAAGTGAGAGAAGGGAGGCAACGGGCAGATCCTCAGAAACAGTACATCACGGGACAGAGAGAGAAGAAATGGTCCAAGAGGCAGAAAAAGATAAAAGAAGAAAAATGAAGAGGAAGTGAGGGAGGAGGAAGGGAAGAATATACAGTTGACTCTTGAACAACATAGGTTTGAACTGTGTAGGTCCACTTATATATGGATTTTTCTCAATAAATACCTACTACAATAAGTTACTTTTCAGCATTACCTTCATGAACTCTATAATCCAGTTCCACAAGGCCACTTTCAATTATTCATGCAACAAATATTTATCAAGCACCTGAACATCACTTACTATGGGACTGTTGATAAAATGATAACATAAATACACAGTTCAGGGTTCATGAACCTTACAATGTAGCAGGGAGACATGAATAAAATAGATATTGTATGCTTTGGAAGATTATGATGGGGAAAGGGGACCCAAGAAGGTCAGAGAAGACTTCCTTGTGCAAATAACATTTGAGCTGAGACCTGAGAGATGAATGGAGTTAGGCAGTGAAAGAGGAAGGGGAAAGTGGGCTGTGCCCCAAACTTATACCATCTTCAAGCCTATGGTTACACTACTCCTTTCCCACTAGGATACCTTTCTTTTCTGTTGAAATGCTACATGTCTTTCAGGCCCAGCTAACACGTCTGCCCCTCCATCAAGCCTTCCCTGAGTGCTCCAGCTGAAGGCACTTTCTCCCTTATACTCCCACCAGCACTTACTTTTCATTTTCCTTCAACACTTCTTTCTAATGTATTTTCTGATTACTTATACACACAGCTTGTCTCGTACACTAAATCTTAAAACTTACTAAGAAAAGAGTCTGTTTCTTATTCACCTTTGAGCTCCCAAAGGCTAGCACATTCCTCAGACTCCCGGAACAAATATTTGTAGCATAAATTAATGCTTGTTTGACATCCCTTTTCAAATATGTTGTAATTCAATGAAGCTATTGTTGCAAGCTGTGCCTTTGGCACTGAACTTACTCTTTGGTTAAACCACAATCCCATAGTCATGGTCCCCATGACTGATTAGTGTTTGCCACAGGGACTGCAACAACCCTAACAAACGGGCAACTGTTCTTGACTGACAGGCGTTTGGCAACAACTGCCCGTCCTCCAGTGGAGGCTGAAATGAACTGAGGAAGGACTGTCTGAATTGAGTCCCCATGCAGTGGGGCTCTATTTATCCCTTGCATTTGGGCTGTGAGAGACAGTGACCCAGGCTTTGGCGTGAGGCTTTGGGGCTTTTCAGGACAACAGAAACACTAATGCTTGGAACAAAATCATCAAAGATCAATATCAATGGACAGAATCCTAATTTGAGGCAGTGTGATAACAAGGGGAAGGGAGCTTTGAAGTCAGACAGACTAGCTCTGTGATCTCACCCATGTGCCTTCTTTGAGCCTCAGATTTCTCACCAAAAAACCATTCTGCAAAACAGTTGTGAAGATCAAAGATAATGTCTTTACACATACAATGCCTGTGCTCTACTAAAATGTGTTTATTCATCTATCTTCGCCAATATAGTTTGTACCCTGAGGTCAGGGACTCATTTTTTGCCTCTACGCCTGCAAAATTTAGCAAAGTGTGTAAATATTTTTTAAACAAATGAACAACAACAGTGAA